CCATTGCATATCCGTACCACATCTTCTTTATCCATTCGTCTATCGATGGGCCCTCAGGTTGTTTCTTTTCTCCTTGGTCTTTGATTTCACTCTGCTATGAATGAGGCTCATCTCTTCTTTCTCCTCCTGGGAGCAAATTCATATTGGCACCATTTTGGGGGATTGATGATAATTTGTCTCAAACATGAAGGTTTGCTCTTTGGGTCTGGAAGTTGGCACTGCTGACCTTGCTCTTGGGCCGTTCGCCTGGTCGTGTGAAGGAGTCAGTTGGGCGTGTGTACCTGGGGCTTGGAAGGGAGGCCTGGGATACAGGTACAAATTCAGGTGAGGAATAGAAGCTCACAAATAATTCCTCGTTGGTGGCTTGCAAAACAGGCCTCCTGGTGGCCCTCAGGGCCGAGTGGGGGCACCCTGCCAGCAGCATATGTGGTGGCACCCCTAAATATAGTGTGTGACCTTGAGCCAGTTTCATCCCATCACTGGCCTCAGGTTCATCTATAAAGTGAGATCACGGCCCCCTTGCAGTTTCACGATTCTGTGGTGAATGATTGTTACCTTTGTGTCTTCTGCACGTGAAGTGACCCTTGGTTCCCCCACCAATAATTGACATTTTCCTCATGGCCAGGAGAGGAAGTCATCAACATTTTACATGCTTATCCAGAAGATGTGAAGTGAAATGGGGACTTAAATTGTCTAATACGTAACCTGCTAATGCATGCGCATTAAAAGGGTACTCCCCACCTGCCAAGTCAAAGACCACAACAAAAGGCTACATCCTTGCTTCTATTCTGCAAAATTATAATTTAATGGTGCAAAAATACTGATATCCACGTTTTAGTGCATTTTGTGCCCATTTTCCTACGAGGATTTTAATCTAGTGCAAAGCTCCCTTGGTTTTTCAGAAAAGATCCTCTTTATGGCTTGAATAAGGTGGGTTTGTTGTTTTTTTTTAGTAACATAGCTACCTTTTATGCCGCTTCAAATATGGTGCCAGCGTGAAATACGTCACACCTGAGGTTTGATTAGTGGTGGTTTGAGTACATAAAAAAGGTAAGGTAAAGAAAAAAAACACACACAGAAAAAGGCAACAAAGGTTATGTTTATGGTTTTACTTGTCAGTATTTCATAACACAAAACGGTTTTCCTGGAGTCTTTTTTATCAGAATTTGTCACCAATTAGTGCCTACCAATTACCTTTTGTTGAAGCCACGCTCCTCTGGTTGTCTCGGTGGCGGGTAAGTCGTTCGGAGGCCCTGCAGCTCCTGGGCTGTCATGTCTGGCTTTCCTGTGTGCTTTGCCTGCTGACGCATCTCAGGACTCCGACCCCTCCTCGTAGGTGTCCAACCACTGTGACTCTGTGTTTGTGAATGGGAAGGAGATGAAGAGCAAAGTGGACACGGTCGTGAACTTCACCCACCAGCACTTCACCACCCAGTTGGCGGTCACCGTCTGGGCGCCCAGACTCCCCCTGCAGATCGAGATCTCAGACACCGAGCTGAGCCAGATCAAAGGATGGAGGGTCCCCGTGGCCCCCAACAGGAGGTGAGGAGGCCAGGGTGGATGGCTCTCCGAGAGAGGGCTATGGGTCTGCAGCTCCGGGGGGGCCTGGTGTTGGTGGGAGGCAGACAGCACCAAACAGAGACACTCCCAGTGACATAATCAGGACTGAATAATAAACTACTAATAACTTTTCCTTCTGTCATTCAATGGTTTGCATGCTACATCCCTTTGCCCCTAAAATCATCTCACTTACCAGCAAGCATATTCAGCCCTCCCTTTGGGAAAGTCAAATTGCTACCTCACGGCGCTGGTGGAAATGTCTCCTGTGACTGAGTACACGGCCCCAGACCTTTCCAGCGAGTGACGTGTTGGAAGCGTGTTCTGTGCCTGCTAATCAGCTGTCCTGGCCACATAGGAACCACTCTGGGGCGTGGTTTCTTCATGGGAAAGTAGGAACTTGTTGTGAAGATGAATGGAGTTAGCTATGAACAGGGCAGGGACACGAACAGTCGGGGACAGTGGCCTGGGCTTGGGCCCCGCCTCGCCATGACCATGTGTGTGCCCGTGTCCTCTCTGTGCCTTGGTTTCCTTACCGGTAAAGTCAGGACAATCAGGTGCCCTCACCCCTTGGGGTTCCATGGGGATTAAATGAGTGGAGGGTGTGGCTGGCGTGTGGTACGTGGCTGACCTGTGTCAGCTCTCATCGTGACCTGCGCACAGTGGAGCAGGACCTGGCACACAGTGGGTCTAACTCAGTGCCTGTCAGTGTTTGCCCCTTTCTCTCCTGACACAGAGTCCTGTCCACTGATGGTCACAGGCTAGTCAGCAGCCACCAAACAAGGTCCTCTCACGAAAAGACGCAGGCCAGATCTGTCTTGAGGGGACGGTTCTAGAATAGCAGAGCCAGAGAGAAGGGCCGCCCTCAGGCAGCTTCACAGCCTGACTCACTTGAGCCTCACGCACAGCTGGAGGGCAGTCGTGTTTACTTCCACTGACAAGGTGAGGGGGGCTGGGCCCGTGTGGGGACAAGCACCTCGCTGGTGGCCGACAGGGAGGCATGCAAGCAAGCAGCCCCCAAGCAGCCCTTCCCTCTGAGCCCGAGGTTCAGCGTCCCCCCAAGGTGGGGACAGATTTGGGGTTGCAGATTTCCAGGGTACAGAGAGAGGCCGCCGCCTGCTTAGAGCTGAGCCTCCCATGCTCTGGGCGGGCGAGGCAGGGGCTGCGCGGGCCCTCCGCGTTCCCAGAGCCCGCGTGGCCCCCAGGGACCGCCACGAACGCCAGTGGGATGAAGGAAGGAAGCGGCCGTGCGTGAGCAGCCGGCGAGCGGGCACGCCGGGGAGACAGCCATCTCCCGCGGCCCGCGGCAGTCGCGGGGATGCGGGCACGCGCGCTCCGTGCGTCCTGCACCCCTGGGACGTTGATGGTGGCGTGTTTGCGTCGCAGGCCCACCCGAGAGAGCGACGACGAGGAGGACGAGGACAGGAAGGGGCGGGGCTGCTCCCTGCAGTACCAGCACGCCACGGTGCGCGTCCTGGCGCAGTTCGTGGCCGAGGCGCCCGACGCGGGGCAGCTGAGCTACATGCTGGGCCCCGACTGGCAGTTTGACATCACCGACCTGGTGACGGACTTCATGAAGGTGGAGGAGCCGAAAATCGCCCAGTTACAGGACGGCAGGACCCTGGTGGGGCGGGAGCCCGGAATCACCACCGTGCAGGTAAGGCCACCGCCCACCTGCCCACTGGCCACGCCTTCGGCCACGCCCCGGCCACGCCCTGACCACCCCGGCCACGCCCCCCAGCCCCAATTGTGCGGACGGTGCGCGCAGGGCGGCGAGTGCGCCTGTGCCAACCCGGGCGCTGCCGTGGAGCGCTCGCCTGTTTGAACAGCCTACACTCGACTTCATTTTTGGCACGTTAGAGAGGTTTCCGAAAACACATCGGATTTGTTTTACCAGCCCCAAGGTAAATGAAACACACCGTGGAAGCGGCGTTTCCCCTGGTGTGATAACTGGCTTTTTACACATCACTGATACAAGAGGGCAGAACCTGGGAAAGCTAGTTTTATTTTCCTAACCTTGAGGGTTAACCATTTAGCTGTATTACACCTTGAACAATGGACGAGATGTTTTTCAAACCGTATGTTTACACTAAAAACAACAACAAAAATCCACAGTTCAAAGTTCCCTATTTTGTCATAGTGATGGTAAAACTATTTTCTAGCCAATGATTATGCAGAAAGAGTGCAGCATATTTTTAATGTTACTGCTCATAGTTAAGTCCTAGTTTAGGTGTTGCCGCAGTTAATTTTTGAGAAAGCTGGATTAAATATTATGTTTTGCATTACTTTCCTATCGGTAACCAATTACTGCAAACTTAGCAGCTCAGAGCACCGCTGATTAGTCACTCTGTTCTGTAAGTCAGGAGCCCAGGGGAGCCAGGTCCCTGTCCAGTCCTGGGTTCTGTGCTCAGAGCATCACGAGGCTGAAATCAAGGTGGTGGCCGGGCTGGGCGCGTGTGGGGACTTCAGGGAGGATTTGCTTCCACACTCAGGCTGTTGGCAGAATGCGCTTCCTCCTGAGGTGGGATTGACTGTCAGCCCAGGGCCCCTCTGCTCCCAGAGGCCACCTGCCTTCCTTCCCCCGTGGCCTCCTCCATCACCAGTCATGCCTGAATCACGTCCTTCTCACATTGAATTTCCCTGACTTTCCTTCTGCCACGAGCCGGGGAAAGCTCTCTGCTTTTAAAGGCTCATGTGGTTACATTGGACCCACCTGGAGAGTTCAGGCTTCTCTCCCAGTGTTAAGGCCAGAGGCGCCACATAATATAACATGAGCAATTTTTCCTTACAGTCACAGGTTTGAGAGGTTAGGCAGGACACCTCTGGGGGGACAGTGCTAGAAACCCTGCCTACGGGACAGTCCTCCCCATTTGTTTGTCTCCCCAGTTCCAAACTAGATGGTCAGTTAAGAGGAATGGCTTCTTTGGGAAATAACACTCCCTGTCCCACTTTGCTTCACTGGTTTACCCAGGGATGACACAGTGGCACCCACGACGGTCATCACTGTCCCATAGTGAACATCCCACTGCCAGTGGGATATGAGCATGTGAGCAGGAGAAATGGGCGAGCATGGCTCGCTCAGAGTTTTGCCACAATTCTGCCGTTTTCACACCTACGTACTAATTGTTGGAAAAATGTTACTCTTGGGTGCCTACTACCAAGGCGGGCAATTTTTAGTTGTTGCCTTTAAATTAAATCAAGCTCTTCTTGGAAAGTACACTGCTATTATCATGGTATGAATCAAAGGAAAGAAAATGGATCTAGATGATATTTGTACGACTTCTCCAACTGGCAAGCGTAACTGGACAATAGGATAGCACTTATCTATGTTAAGTTCTGTAAGTGCTTTCATTTAGCAGAATGCTTAGGTGGAAACACCAGTTAAGGAGTTTAAATTGGTACGTGGAGCAGAGACTAGCTTTCTCGCTTCCTCTGAAGGTCCTCTCGCCTCTCTCCGACTCCATCCTGGCTGAGAAGACGGTGATTGTCCTGGATGACCGCGTCACCATCGCAGACCTGGGCGTGCAGCTGGTGGCGGGCTTGTCCCTTTCCTTGCAGCCTCACAGGGCGGACAGAAGAGCCATCGTCTCGACAGCGGCGGCCCAGGACGTCCTTCAAGCCCCACGGCAGGTAAGAGTCCAGGGTGCTGTGTCCCTGGTCCACTGAGCCCCCTTCTCTGTCCCTCACATCCTGCAAAGGGGTCAGTAGAGCACTCATAGCTGGGGCTGAGATTCTCGAAGCTTCTACCTGCTTCCTTCTATCCAGAGCCTGTCTCATCTCTGAGAAACGTGCTCTATGGCTTAGCTATGTTTCCCTGATATATGCATCTATACATCGGCCACGCACCCAGGTGCCATCTGCTTTATAGCAGCCTTCTCTGGGCTAGGCATCGTCTGGTGCTAGACCCTGACCCGAGGATCACGTGACTCACTTTCGCCAAAGCAGATGGCTTCTGATACCTGGAAACCGCCCTGTCGGTACTTGAACAAGCATGGCTAAGAGGCACCAGATGGCTACTGTTTATGACAACGATTGTCACCTCTGAAACTCCCCTCCAGCTTTAAACTTCTGCACATTTTTCAAAGATAACAGGGCACTGTGCCTTCCAAGCAAGCGAGTCTCATGGTGCCTCTTTCCACACACACCTCCGTCCAGTGCGTGCCTTGCTTCATCAGCATGGGCTTCCCAATAAAGAATGTCCCCACTGATGTTATCTGGAGCAGTAGGCTGGTTAGTTGCCCCCCGGATTGGATTCAGATAAATTGTGTTATCTTTCAAAATGTTTCCAGAAAAGTCAAAGTCAAATGTGGCTGTGTGGCATACAATAAATGAATATACACTTGAAGGCATTTATTTAACGTATATTATTCCTCACGTCAGTGGGACGAGAGTGGATTATGAATGCCTGTTCAAGGCGTGCCAAGAGCTGTTCAAAGTGATAAAATATAGATATTTCTTTTTCTCAGTTTGTATATTCAAGTAATATCACATAAGAAATCAGATTTACGTTCTCAGATTTGTGAGAACCTGATTATAACGTGCTGCTTTGGTTTCATTTCTCGTAGGAGGCAATAGTCAGTTCTTGGATTTTGTTCAGTGATGGTTCGGTGACACCCTTAGACATTTATGATCCAAAGGATTTTTCTGTTTCTGTCTCATCATTGGACGAAATGGTGGTGTCTGTCCAGGCAAACCTTCAGCCCAAATGGCCGGTTGTCGTTGCAGAGGGCGAGGGGCAAGGGCCCTTGATTAAGTTAGAAATGATGATTAGTGAGCCTTGTCAGAAGACCAAGAGGAAGAGTGTCCTTGCCGTGGGCAAAGGCAACGTCAAGGTCAAATTTGAACCAAACACCGATGAGCACCAAGGAGGTACCAATGATATCGAGGGCATAAGCCGGGAATACAAAGACCACCTCGGGAGTTCCATACAGCGTGAAGGAAACCAGGAGAGAGCGGTTCAGGGGTGGTTCCAACATGGCGCCTCCGTTGGCCAAGTGGAAAGTTCCAACAAAAGCACAACCCCTCAGTCTCCCATGGGGAGAAAAGAGAAGAAGTTAATCAAGGGCGGTGGCCCAGACTCCTTCACAAGCTTCCCCGCTCAAGGGAAGTTGCCAGAACCCAATAATCCCAGTGACCTAACGGTGACCTCTAGGGGGCTAACGGACTTGGAGATCGGCATGTACGCTCTGCTCTGCGTCTTCTGCCTGGCCATCCTGGTCTTCCTAATCAACTGTGTGGCGTTCGCTTGGAAATACAGACACAAAAGATTTGCTGTGAGCGAGCAAGGCAACATCCCCCATTCCCATGACTGGGTCTGGCTCGGGAATGACGTGGAGCTTCTGGAGAACCCCGTGGACATCACGCTCCCGTCGGAGGAGTGCACCACCATGATAGACAGGGGGCTGCAATTCGAGGAGAGGAACTTCCTTCTGAATGGCAGTTCCCAAAAGGCTTTCCATCCACAGCCAGCTGCTCAGACCTTCTGACTATGTCTATGAGAAAGAGATGAAAAATGAGCCTATAACTCCATCGGGCCCCAAGCGGAAGAGGGTCAAGTTCACGTCCTACACCACCATCCTCCCTGAGGACGGGGGCCCGTACACCAACTCCATCCTGTTTGACAGCGATGACAACATTAAGTGGGTCTGCCAAGATATGGGGCTGGGGGATTCCCAGGACTTTAGAGACTATATGGAAAGACTGCAAGACCAGATGTAAACTCCTTTCTTATGTTTGTATTCACCTTTATGCCTTCTGTTTTTGCAATGGTGGAGCAGTGAGTTTGATCAGCAATAGGGGATGACATAACAAAGCCTGATTTGGGGAGGTCTGGTGGGATCCCTTTCTCAGCAGGTGTCAGAGGTCTGGAGAGCTAGAGCAGCTGGGCTGGAATCTGGGAAAGGTCCCTAACACAGCCACATGTAGGGCCTGGAGAAATTCTAAGACAACAGTTTTACCTGCTGCCTGGTACTAGCTCAGCTCAGATATAATAAACCTGACCCCACAGACATTGTTAGTCATCTTGTGACCAACGGCCGTGTGGCATTAGGAAAGACTCCATGCTGATTTTTCTATTTCTAGACCTTTTAAAGCACACTGGACATTCCTCGCCCTTGGCCTGAGGTTGGACCTCCGCGAAAGATGCTGAATGTAGCACCCTTCTCTGTGATGCGTGATGCTCATTAATTTTATATGCGTTTGCTCCTGCACCTGGTTCCTCTGACCTCTGGAGGTTCTTCCAGAAACACGAAGAAAAGAAATGTCATTCTTTTCTCTGAAATCTGTTTGAGTCACGCCATGGTACTTCCTGTTTGAGTGACATGACGTGTCCCGGTTCTTGTTATTCTGGGGTGTCTGTGCTGGTCAGGCTTTCCCACGCTTCGTTATTTAGGGGCGACATCTAAGAAGCTTACCCTCACGTGTCCTTCCTCCTTTCTGTCGTCGACCTTTCTTGTATCAGATGGGGACCTGGGATTTTACTGAAAATATTATATACTGTGAGGGAGGGCCATCTCTGTACAGTTTTCTACATAAGCTTAAAAAACTTTGGAGAAAAGTTGTGACCCACAAACAATTTATTTTATCTTCTCTGTGTTGGAGGTTCTTGGGGAACCCTTGGAGTGCATTTCTGGGGCAACAGACCTTGAAATAGCTGTATTTCTACGAGTGCTCTGTGGTCAACACAATTTATTATCCAAATGGAAATCTAAATGTAAAACTGATACGCACAGAAAGGAAATTGCACAGGAAATTCCTTCAGCATAAATGTGCCAATTTACCAGAACAAAACATTTTTTAAAAGTAGAATGACATTTCAATTTAGCAATATGTAGAAACCCATCCATCCCTAAAATGATTCCTACCCCCCATCCCCACCCCCAGATACCCCCAGTCAGGACTCTGGCAGAGAGAAAACCCACACAGGGTGTGTGCACTGATGGAGGAAAACAATTGGGTTCCCCCCTAAATTCATAAAATTCAATGACTGTTTCAGAGCTCAAGAAGTAGTTATGATGAAAAAACATAGCTATTGGAAACTCAAAG